CCACCTCCATCACCACCACCACCATCACCACCTCCATCACCACCACCTCCATCACCACTACCACCATCACCACCACCATCATCACCTCCATCACCACCACCACCATCACCACCACCATTATCATCACCATCATCACCACCATTATCACCACAACCATAATCATCACCATCATCACCTCCATCACCATTATCACCACCATTACCATGTCCACTACACCCACAATCACCACCACTGTCATCATTTCTACACAAACACCACTACCATCATTACCACCACCAATCATAATAATACCACTAATACCAACACGATCATCAACAGCATTACAACTCTGCATAGACCCCCCCATCAGTATTACCACCATCACCACCACCATCACCTCCACCGGCATACCATACAATTGACTTCACCTTTATTATCACCATCACTACCAACACCATCATTAACATCACCATCAACATCTCTGCAAAGCATCACCAACACCACCACTATTACTATCACCACCACCTTCACCACCATCATTGCCGTCCTCATCACCACCATCCCCAACTCCACCACAGCCACCATCAGCACCACCAATAACAATACAACCATTATCAACAACAGCACACCCACATCACCATCTCTATTATTCATCACCTTAATCCACATGTGCTGCTCATTTACCTCACGGGGCTTCTCAGCGTATTTGGGGAAACAGGATGTGCTTATCTGAAGGTACCTATTTCAAGGAAGTAGGTGTGGGAGGATGTGCAGACAGAGGCTAGAGGACACAGAGCTCCCTGGGGGCAGAAGGATCAGGGAAAGCTTCCAAGAGGAGGAGAGCTAGAGCTGACCGGGACTGAGCGGAGCACAGGGCAGGCCAGGCCCGGGGTGCAGGCAGAGACCGGATGGGTACTTGGGAGGATCCAATGACTGGAGGGGGCGTGTGCTGATGCCAGCCAGGAGGAGTGAAGAGGGATGGTAGGGCTTTGCGGGGTAACTATCAAAACCTTCCTGCAGCCTGCAGCTCAGAGACTAGAGCTGGGACACAAGACCTGCTCCTTGGTTCTGAGTAGGGCGACCGGGTCTGCGGAAGATAGCTCAGCTAGGGGCCAGAGAGAACCCTTTCTGCCCTCAGGCCATCCACTCCCCCAGGGCTCTCCAGTCTCCAGAGGCCAAGGCCAGGCTCTCCCTACCACTCTGCCCATCCGCACACCATTTCCGGCACGGTGGTGGGGCAGGGCCATGGCCCCAACGTTCACTGCCCCCGTCATCCCTGGAGGTACTGACGTCCAGCATGGAGGAGGACGTAGCCTCTGCGGAGTCCCGCCAGTCAGGGCTGGACCTGTTCCGTCTAATCGCGCTCCTCTGGAGAAGCTGCAGACTCTTGGTAGTGAGGTATGCCATCCTGAGCATATCTCCCAGGGCTAAGGAGGGCGGGGTGTCCACTGGGGAAACAGCCCCTGCAGGCCTCATGGGGTACATTTCTGGCCAGAACAGGCAGCCTAGCAGGTGGGGGAGACAGAGTACGTACAGATGTGATCGGGAGGCCAGCTTGTGCAGGAAGTCAGCTAGACGGCAGGGCTGGGCTGTGGTCCTGGGCAGGGTGCCAGGGTCAGGCTGAAGCCCAGGGCAGAGGCAGAGCCAGGTCCTCAGAGCCAAGGGACCAGCAACAGCTGGAAAGGATCACTGGGACTCACCCTGACAGCTGGACTCCTAGAGGGTGGCAGATAAGTTCATTTATACCCCACTTTACAGATGGGGAAAGAGAGGCTGGGAGAGGCAAGAAACTTGCCCAAGATGACAGAGCAGGCGTTTGAACCCAGGCTGAGCTACCTCCTCGTCCTGCTCTCTGACCCTCCAGCCCCACATTGAGCGTGGACTCCCCGTCCCGCCCCAGGAGGCCCCACCTCCCAGGGGTACCTGGGACCAGGAAAAGGCTCCTTAAGACAAATTCAGTTTAAATGACTTCCAGAAGAGTGGATGGAAAAGTGAGGGTCAGGTTTGATTGGGCCTTGATCTTGAAATAAAACTCAGAATTAGGAAAACATCTATTTTATGCCATATATAAGCACATATGGGTTATAACGGCAAATACGTGCTACATCTCAGACAGAGAATGCTTCTCTTTTTTTTTTTTGCTTAAGTTTGTTTTTTTTTTTTTTCCTGATAAATTAGGAGTGCCCAGGGCCACTGAATGTCCAGGGCCATTCTTTTCAAAAACCATCAAGGCTTCCTCAATTCTCCCAGGGGCCACTCTGCACTCTTGTTATTCAAATCACAGGCTGTGAAGCGGCCACCCTCGTGGGTTTTCTTATTTCTGTTAACCCAGTTGTTACCGGCTAAGGCTCTAGATACCTACGGGTCAGCCGCTTTCAGCTCCAGCCTGGCCCTTGTCAAGTCACTTTCACAAACTTCAGGAAGCTCTGCATTTCTGCAGGAATCGCAGCTTTTCTCTACCGTTGTTGGCCTGGTGGCGCCCGATGTCTCCTGAGGACGGCAGTCCGGTGCTGCTGCAGGGGAGGGCTGTGAGAAGCAGGGATGGGGACAGACTGGAAAAGTGGTGGAGGATAATTTCCCACCATGGCCACTTGTGGAGCCAGATTCAGTCTCCAAGGTGTAGAAATTCAGCTACTGTAAGTTCAGCTACTCAGGAGCCTGTGTCAGGGGGTCCCCTGGGAAGCCGACTTTGAGATGGAGGGCCATGAGCAGGCAGTTCACAGAGGGGGCTCTAGGGATCACCTCTCATGGAAGCAGAGAGGGGCCAGGTAGGGCAGGAAGCAGCAGGGGCAGGGGAGAAGTCGTGGTGATGCCGTCACAGCCAGGCCCCAGCCTGGGGACCTGGGAGCTGGGGTGACCCTTCTGAGTCATCTCTCTGGACCGTGTAGACCAGCCATGGGATGCTCTCCCCGGCTCGGGGGCAGAATTCCCAGGGCACTGATGGGGGAAGGCCAGCATCCTCCACTGAGACCCCATTCTATTATGAATCCCATGTTTCAAGACAAAGAAACGCGTCCAGAGAGGGCCAGGCAGGGACTTGCCCAGGTCCATGGCTAGTAGAGTGGGATCCAGATCATGGTTCCCGGCCACGACTGGGAACAGGAAACAAAGCCAGAGGGTGCTAGAGCCTGGCGAAGGGGCAGGTCAGCGTGACCCACTGCCCCATCTGCCCAGAGAGGGTCATGCTTCCCTGCTGGTTGGCGGAGAGGGAGCCTAAGAGGCAACGTCCAGCCCACCATGGCCGACACCCAAGGCCCACACGTGGAATGGATGGGGCCACCGCCCTCCCCACCCTTTCCTGGGACAACCCCGCGGAGGTGCATCCTGCCCTCACCAGGCTGCCCGGGGCTCGGGGCTGGTGGTGCCCTCCCGGTGCAGCCCCGGCGTAGATAATGGTGCAGGGACCTGACTTCTGATTCGCCCCACAGCTTGTCCCTCACCCTCTCCTACTATGGGCTAGTCCTCCTCCTGCAGAACCTGGGGAGCAGCGTCTTCTTCCTCCAGGTCCTCTTTGGAGCTGCAGACTTCCGGGGCCGGATCACCACCACACTCCAACTCAGGTTCTTTGGCCACCGCATGACCCTGCCCGGCTCCCTGGCTGTGGCTGGCCTCGCCATCCTGGCCAAAATGCTGGTCCCACAAGGTGCAGCCAGGGCAGCGGGAGGGAAGGCTGAGGGGCTGCCGGCCCGGGCGCCTGCTGGCCTGTCCACTGCACTGCGCCACCACCAGCCTTTTCCCCTCCCCCGGCCCCGAGGATGGGCAGGGGCCACTGCGCCCCGGCTCTGCCCAAGGCCATTATTGCCACAGCCCAACCAGCCCCCCACCCATTTTCCTGGGGAAACTGAGGCTCAGAGAGACGAAGCCAGGTGCCCAAGATCCCTCATTAGCAAGTGACAAAGCCAGGCCTGGACCAGACTTCAAGCCAGAGGCCAAGTCTGCAGGGGGAAGAAGGGTCTGGGAGGCTGAGAGGGGCTCCAAGTGAGGCAGGAGAGGCACCAGGCCGAGTGTATTTCTTCTTGTTAACTAAGCGAGAGGGGAGACTTCCCTGGTGGTGCAGTGGTTAGGACTCTGCACTTCCACTGCCGGGGACCCAGGTTTGATCCCTGGTTGGGGAGCTAAGATTCCCACATGACCAACAAAAAAAGAAGCAAAAGGGGGCTTCCCTGGTGGCTCAGTGGTTAAGAATCCGCCCACCAATGCAGGGGACACGGGTTCGAGCCCTCGTCCAGGAAGATCTCACATGCCGCGGAGCAACTAAGCCGCGCGCCACAACTACTGAAGCCCATGCGCCTAGAGCCCGTGCTCCGCAACAAGAGAAGCCACCGCGATGAGAAGCCTGCATGCCGCAACTAGAGAAAGCCCGTGCGCAGCAACGAAGACCCAACACAGCCAAAAAATAAATAAATAAATAAATTTATATTTAAGAAATTAAAAACCTCATACTGCAGATACTATAAAATGTGGGTGCATTAATGACACAAAAAAATCTGTATTAAAAAAAAAAAAGAAGCAGCAAGAGGCAGAGCACTGGGGAAGCTGGGATGGGCCCTGGTCTCACTCTCCTTTCTGACTGAGGCTGTGAGGCCCCAGAAACCCTCTCCGTGTCTCATTTTATTGCTCAAGGTGGGTGACTGGGGGAGGGGCAGGGACAGGTGTCCCGTGGTGACAGCAAAGCCAGGAGGGAGGCAAGAGAGCCGCTGGGAGGGGCGGGGTGAGGATGGAGAACCAGTCGGGAGCCCAAACTCTGAGTGAGATGCAGCGCTCTGAGAAAAACTCCAAAGACGAGCACTTGAGAGTTTATGACTCTTCCCAACCACGTGCGGGAAGGGAAGTGAGGCCCAGGCCCACCACTGGCTTGCGACCTGCACCCTGGCTTCCCAGCTAAGGCTCCCTGTGGAAGCAGGGGCCCCACAGGCAGACTGAGGGGTGGCGGGAAGGCGTGGTGGGAAGGCTTCTGGGTAGCTGGGCACCCCAGGGCCCCTGCTGTGGGCCTGGGCCTGGCATGACCCTCTCCTTTGAGGGAAGAAGCACCCTCAGGGCCCAAGGAGCCCTGGCACTGTCACCGCTCGAGTGCCACCCGCAGCTGCCCCCAGGCTCACCCACCCCAGACCTGGCTGGGTTCTTGCCCTGCACCCCACCCCCAGCCCACCCACCAGGATGTCATCCTGCACTGCATCACCACCTGGCCCGGGGCAGCCTGGCACCGGGTCACACTGCCTGGGACCTGCTTTCAGTCCAAAGCAGCCTTGTGGGAGAACCCAGTCACTCTGCTCCAGGCTCCTGGGGACCCTCCCGAGCAGACCCCACCCTCACCCTTTCCTCTGCCTAGATCTGCAGACCCTGCATGTGATCTTGGCTGTGCTGGGAAAGGGATGTTTTGGCATCAGCTTAACCTGCATCATGGTCTACAAGCCGGAACTCTTACCAACGTCACTGCGGTAGGCTGGGCTGCCGGCTGGGCCCAGGAGGGGCCGCCAGGCCTGGGGCGGGCGAGAAAGGGACCCCCCTGCGAGGGCCCATGGCAGGAGTAGAGAGAGGGGCTGGGCACCCAGGGACACACAGCAGAGGGAGAGGGGGACCCAGCGCCAATATGGAACCGAGCAGACGCCCTGGAGTCCTTCCCCCTAAGGCACCTGCTCAGCCAGGGCCTCCGCAAACAGCCTCCCCCCAGGAGTCCAGGCTCGGAGGCAGCCCCACGGAGAGCCCTCGGGAGGCCTCTGGACTGGAAACCGCTTCGAGCCACACAGCTCTCTGCTCAGGTGAAATCTTATAAGAGCCCTGGTGAGGAGACCAAGAGCTACCCGGGGTAGTGGGGACTCTGCTTGCCTCCCACTGTCCCCTCCCTGCCCCAAGAGAGCCCCAGGTTACCTCCTCGGAGCCCAGTGGTCTAGAGTTAGGCCACCCCTGCATTGGACAGTTGGGTAGACTGAGGCTTAGGGTGGCCAAGGATTTAGCTGAGGAGCAGGGCTGGACCCCAGCCCCCAGAGGCCTGGCCCAGCCTCACCCACGGTGCTCACTCACTCACTTGTCCACTCTTTCTTTTTTTTTTTGACACACATTTATTGATTTTGTTGACTGGGAGCTCCGTGGCCTAGCGGAGACAAGCCTCCAAATTACCTGAGACCAGGGAGAATAGGGTGGGCCCTAGAGAGTTCCCGTGAAGGACTCTGGATGTTCCCAGGAGGCAGAGACCTTTTGGATGGGAAAATCTAGGTGGGCTCAATGGAGGAGGTGGGGTTGGAAGAGCCCTTGAGGAGGGCGACTCCAGCAGCCCAGCTTTCCCTCCCCTGGCCCAGCCAAGTAGCCCCTCTGAAGTGGCAGTTGTGACAGGGTCCCAGCCCTCCTCTCTACCCACAGGATGACAGCAGAAGTCTTCCTGCATTCAGCAGGTCAGCGGGGGTCCCCCTCCTACGGGGTCATCCCCATCATTTCCCACCTCTTTGTCCTCTTCCTCCTGGAGACCTGGGGACTTCCACTCCCTGACACCATCCAGGCCCTGGAGAGACAGTGAGTGACCCATGGCCACCCTGGGAGTGATGCAGCTGCGTGGGGCTGCAGATACGGTGGCAGGTCCACCACAGCCCGGAGACAGGAGAGCCCAAGGGTCAGGAGACGTCCCGGGCAGAGAGGTCAGGAACAGGGCCGGGCTGGTCATCATGACGACACCCGCAGCTCGGGCTTGTTCAGTGCCCAGAGCATTCCCGACACCATGCTCAGGGCAGCATGTTTCTGAAACCGTTTAATCTTTACAACAACCCTGCTAGGAAGATACTACTGCTCTCCCTGTTTACAAGAGGCTCAGAGAGATGAAGTGACTTATTTGAGGCCTCACGGGTAGAAGGTGATTGTACCTTAGACAGGAAAATGTACTGGTCAAGAGCCCGGCTCTGCAACCAGACTGCCCAAGATTGAATCCCTGCCTACGCAGGCAAGCGTCTTCCCTCTCTCATCAAACTGACACAAGAAGAAAAAGAGATCCTCAACAGTTCTCCTTGAGGCTTCCTGCAAAGGAGCCCAGGCCCAGACAGATTATCAGGTGTCTTCCCTCGGGCCCTCCAGGAAAAAAGCCATGCTATTCTCATGTATGTTCTTTGAGAGAATAGGAATGAAGGAATGCTCCTCGATTTTCTTTTATAGCCAGAATCACCTCTAAGTTTCCACTTCCTCATTGGTAAAACAGGTGTTGAAAAAAGACAGTGTAGCTCAAATAGTTGTATTTGGGTTTAAGTGAGTAATTATATGAGAGCGCGAAGGACAGTGCCTGGCCCACAGCACGTGCTCCGTAAGTGTGGCTGCTGTGTCTCGGGCGAGAGGGTTCGTAGGCAGCCCTCCTTGCTAAACAAGAGCCAGGATCGTGATCATAGTAATGATAACAGTGGGGGCTTAGTGAGCCCTTATTGTTTTAATACAGCATCTGATTTGACCCATGCAACAAGCCCACAAGGTGCTGTTCTGTCCAATTTCACTGTCAAGGAAATGGAGACACAGAGAGGTTATGCAAGTTGCCTAAAGACACCCAGCTAAGAGACAGGAAAGCTAAGACTTAATTTACTCTTTCACTTAATTCATTTTTGTTGTGTATCTACTACATGTCAGGGACTGTGCCATGCTTTGGGTAACAGCCGTAAATAAAACCCTCATCTCATAGAGCTTACATTCCCATAAGACTTGACCCCCGTTTCTGCCCTCCAAGCCTCAGAGCGGTAGCCATCACGGCACACAACTGCTTTCCCTTTTCATTATTCTAGGAGGACAGCAGCAGTCAGGGGCAGCCAGGAGAGGTGGTCATTACAGAAGCCACCTGGTTCTAGAAATTCTGCCTGCGGGAGCCCCTTGGGCCAAAGATCCCTCTGGTGGGAATTGCCTCTTCTGTGATCAGAGGGTGGAAGCAATTTGGGCAGCCTTGAGGGTTTGGTGTGTCTGAGCTGGCAGCACAGCTGTGTGCTGAGGCTGAAGGCCACATCACCACTCACTTCTGCTCCCCCTGCCCCTCCAGACTCCACCCACCTCAGCATCGCAGGACGCCCCCGGCAGACAGATACGCCCAGCCTGGCTGCCCCCAGGTCCACTTGGTTAACACAGTGGTTCTCTCCCTTCCCTGCCAGGATTCGTCTTCACACCTTCACTCAGCCACCCACTTCTTCTCACTTCTCAGAACATGGTGCTGCAGGTTTCTCACCTTCCAGCTTCCAGAGTGGATCGTAGGGCAGGGTCCAGACAGACCTGAGCTCCAGTCTTTCCTCTGCCACTCACAGAGTCTTCATCAGTACAATGGGACTCATGGAATCTACCTCCCAGGGTGGGTGACAAGGTAAGCAGATCTTAGCACAGACCAGATTCCAACAAGTAGAAGCTGCTACCAGAGCTGCCAGGAACAGGCAACCAGGTGTGCCTTGCCCCCGGGCACCAGCAGACGAGGCACATGGAGCTGAAACCCAGCCCAGGCTGCACCAACTCAGCCACTTCCCCTGATAGAGGCTGGATTCATTCCAAGCAAGGGGCTGTTTTAGTCACTTCCTGTTTACCCCCATTGGTGAGGGAGGCCTCCTGCCCTGTGGTTATGTGGCTTTAGGGAAGGCCCAACCTAACACTGCACAGATAAGACGGACAGCAGTTTACTAATCACGTAAACTCACAGCCAAGGGAGGTCGACACTGTGTTCCACGCAGGCTCACATGGGTTGCACTCAGGAGAAGAGAGAACCACCAAAGGCTGTGGGAGGTAGGCTTCGTGGTATCGAGAAGGTGGCAGGGGGACCCCTGGTTCCACAGGACCGTGTGACTGGCTTGCTTGAATCATTCCACAGGTTGGCAGGGAGCCGACCCCCACCTCTCAGGGATGACAGGAACTGTGCTGGCCCCCCCCAACCCCCATGAGAATTGTTGTTGGCTTGGGGACCTTACCCACAGGAGCAGAGTGGGGAAGGGGACCTGCAGATAAACCACAGAGACCCTCCCGGTTTCACCAGATGTCAAGGCAGCACAGACTATTAGGCCTTAATGTTAGGCCTTATGCTTCAGGGCCACCCTTCTGTGTGTGTATATTGAGGGGTCACCTTTTCCTAATTCATGCAGACCCTCCCTATACAAGCAGCAGCCCAGGCTGTTAAAACGAGGGGATCATTGAGGCTGATCACCTATTTTAAAGGTAAGGAAACTAAAGCCCAGAGAGGTGAAGTGACATGCTCAGAGTCACACCGCCTAACCCTGCCTGACTCCCAGTCCAGGCCTCTTTCCCGAACACCCGGCTCCCCGCCCTCACCTGTACCCCTCCGTGCTCTGATATCTGCAGCACTGTCACAAAGTTACACCCTTCCCTGGAGATCCAGATGCTTTAGACAACTCCCCACTCTCCTTGGACAACTCAGAGAAACCTCAAACCCCAGTTCCCCATCCCATTTCCCCTCTTTCACATCTGATGCACACCAGACCAATCAAACCCAATTCAAATCAAATTCCCTGTGGCTCTGGTGGCTCACGGTAAAGATCATACCTCCCCCACCAACGAGCCCCTATGGGTCCCCAGCCTTACTTCACATGTAATAAATTTAAAAGGATTCAAATCACACAAAGTATGTCCTTGGATGGTCATGGAATTAAATTAGAAATCAGTAACAGAGGCATATCTAGAAAACCTGTTCAAACTGAAAAACATACTTCTAAATAACCATGGGTCAAAGAAGAAATCACAAAGGAAATTAGAAACTATTTTGAGCTGGATGAAAAAAAAAATTAAATCATGTGTCAGAATTTGTGGTGTGAAGATAAAGCAGTGATTAGAGGAAATTTTATATAGTTCAGGGCTCACATTAGAAAGGAAGAAAGTGAGAGAGCAGACAGCAGAAGCAAGAAGAACTACAATCCTGCAGCCTGTGGAAGGAAAACCACATTCACAGAAAGATAGACAAGATGAAAAGGCAGAGGGCTATGTACCAGATGAAGGAACAAGCTAAAACCCCAGAAAAACAACTAAATGAAGGGGAGATAGGCAACCTTCCAGAAAAAGAATTCAGAATAATGATAATGAAGATGATCCAGGACCTCGGAAAAAGAATGGAGGCCAAGATCAAGAAGATGCAAGACATGTGTAACAAAGACCTAGAAGAATTAAAGAACAAACAAACAGAGATGAACAATACAATAACTGAAATAAAAAATACATTAGAAGGAATCAATAGTAGAATAACTGAGGCAGAAGAACGGATAAGTGACCTGGAAGACAGAATGGTGGAATTCACTGCCACAGAAGAAAATAAAGCAAAAAGAATGATGAGAAATGAAGATGGCCTAAGAGACCTCTGGGAAAACATTAAACACAACAACATTCACATTATAGGGGTCCAAAAAGGAGAAGAGAGAGAGAAAGGACCTGAGAAAACATTTCAAGAGATTATAGTCGAAAATTCCCTAACATGGGAAAGGAAATAGCCTCCCAAATC